CCACACCTCGTGTACTGAGTGTTGAAAACCAAAACTTATTGGTGGAAGGTGAGGCACCACATCACGTTTGTGTGTGACGCGGTACGTCTTGTGTTTACGGCGGCAGAACAGTTCGGACATCCACGCCGTGAACGCCTCGTTCCCCACGCGCGGGGCACCGAACGTGTACAGTTCGAACTGCGGCCCCGCACCGATGGCGTACGCCTGCGCCGCGAAGTCCGCCGCCGCGAGGACCGCCATGGCGCCGCCAAGACTGTGGCCGGTGATGAGGACTGGGCGGCGGGGGTATTCGGCAACCAGCCGCTGCAGCTCCTCCCACATCTCATTACGCAGTGATGAGAAGGAATGGTAAAACCCACGATGCACACTGCAACCCTCACATGTGGCATTCGGATATGTTATTTGCTTAAACTCCATATTAGATATCCAATTGGGTATATTCTGGGATCCACGGAAACTTATCACAATGCGGTCTTGGCTGACACCCATGTACGCCAATGCGCCTTCCGTCGCATTTTCAAACACCTTCGTCAGCTGGAACGAAGGATGCATAGCGCAGGAGTCACAGCTCCAGTTGCCAATAGATGGAACATCGCAGTACGAGGCCTTTGAGAAGTACAGCGCAGACATCGCCAACGTCTCTGAGTACGCGGCGTGAACCCCACAACTGCAAAGCAGAAGTAAAAGGAACAAGAATGCTGATGGGGCCAAGCGACAGTGGGAGACAGAGAACATGTTGTTACTGTGGTTTTTTTTTTGAAATATGTTAATGCTGTGAAAGAGACAAGTAAAAGTAAAGGTTCAGAAAGACATGAAGGATTTGGAGGAGTGAAAACTTCGTTAAATAATGTATTAGTGGTTCTATTCCCAGTGAACAAACAAACTCGGTACTTCCTTTTTTTCTTCTTCCAAGGTATATATTATGAATATCCCCAAATTGTATAATACCATAGTGTGAACAAACGGATTATTATTACATAGTGTTAACTTATTGAACCCAACCCATTGAAAAGTAATATACTTATATACTGATATAGAATCCCTTTGAGTGAGAGAGAGTACATGTAGGAATATATATAAGACCAAAGAAAACCTCTAACAAGTAATATTATATTTTTTCTCCCCTGCATAGATATACAAAACTTCATCACTTGAAGAAAAGTATATATATTATGTATTCTTCAAGAAAAGTATATAAATTATATAGAAGTAGGTAGAAACAAAAACCACACACAAAAAGAAACCCACTTTCACAAGAGACATTACTCTGTTGCATCCTCATCCATGAGACCATTCACGAAGTCAGCGAACATCTGTGTGCCAACATCCTTTCCCTCATGTTGGTACATGTAGTCAAGGGTCACCAACCACTCCAACCTGGGTGTGAGCTCATTCGTTTTATCTAGACTTCTGGTTTTCCTCCTTTGGCACGAGCAC